GCAATAAGCACTAAATTGGTAGCACTCTATATCCAGTCTCTTTTTAGCACTTGAATGAAGTTAGCTCTCATACTTAACTACGCAAATAGGCTGGTGATGGAGATTTTAATGCTCCTTTCAGCATGAAGAAAAAAATAAGGTAGGATGATACTCTCTTTCCACTTACCCTTTCTCAAGTTTGAGAATGTCAGCTGTGGCTTGTGAAACATTTTGTATCATTCTAAGTGGGGTGACAGAGATAAGCTTATCAACTCAGACAGTGCTGGCAATTCTGCTGAAGCCAGCGGAGCTCATGCCAGCTGAAAGGCAGTCCACTGTGCACATCTCAAAAGGCCTGTCTGTATGGTGAAGTCCCAAAACCTGTCTAAAATTACTAAAATAAAAGGTAGTTTTTTCAGAACCCAACCAAACCGGAGGCAATACTTGCACCTGCTGTAAGTAGACATACTGCTCTGCAGTTAGCAGAGAGTGTTTGTGTAAGTTTAATGTATGATGTGTGGACTTTGCCAGTGACTTAGTTCTTAAAATGGATTTTCACACAGAACTGTCATACTTAGAAAATTTCCGGCTTGCAGAGTGTGAAGTTTGGCCTATGCCTACATTGTGCAGAGGCAATATTGCACATTTATTTTTATCATTTTCCATATATTAGGGACTGCATACAGACACCTCTGTTTTTGTCCCATAGATATTTCTTGTTTTCTAGTTAAGTTGGCTGTACTTCACTTAAATGTTTTTTCCAGTGAAAGGCTGTAATAACATTTCTTTTCAGTGGATCTTTGATTTTTAACAACCTGAAATGAGGTGACCAAATCTGAATCATGCATCTAATAATCTTGCAGTGGATGCAGCATAATTTATGAGCACTTGAGCAGCATTTCTCATCTTCAAAGCACTTTACAAATGCTATTAAGAACCTCCTTCCATAATAGATATTATCCTCCCCTGTTGCAAAGAGAGAGAAATTAACAGAGAGTACAAGTGACTTGCACAGGGCCACAGTACAAACTGGTGAGACTTCCAGACCCAGGAATCAGTTTCTGCATTGACTCTTCATCTTTTTGCTTGAGATTTTTGAGTAGAAATTATCCTGAGTATTAGCTTCTGGAATGCGCAGCAGAAGGGTAAATACACCACCATGTTAAGGACCAGTCCCGTGAGGTTTTTTCAGAGAGAGTTTGACAGCCAGTACTGTTCAGATTCCTTAAAGTACAGGTGGATTGTACGTGACTCTCTTCCCTCTGAACAGATTAGATGGACAAATCAAAATAATGTAAAGTGGTTGACATTCAGAGAAGGAGAATTCTAGGAAAGCAACTATGATGTGGGAACTGACTTCACGTGCACACAGCTTAGAATAAAAAAATGAAGACAGGCATGGCATCTGCTTACAGCCGTTAATATCCATCATATGGACAGAGAACTTCTGCAGAACTTCTCAGTGGTACTCCACCAAAAAATATCAGTACCACATCATGATGATACTATTGTAGGTTCTTTTTTTTGAACAACAGCATCATGTTCCAAGCTATGTATTGTGATCACACAGAAATTTGGAAGAGGGTTCAAATAAGGTAAAGGAGAGTTTACACTATCCAGGAGACCACTATCAGTTTTCACCATCAGTGGTGAAAACAGTGTTTATCCAGGACAGGGGGAATGGATATTTACACAGCTAATAACTATAGCCAGCTCTCACACTTTTGTCCTGAACTACCAAGGCTGATGTTGGCAATTAAAGATCATTAGCTAGTTTAAACACTAGCCAGTAAATAAAACTGCTTAACTCTCCTCCCTTGAGGAGCACAAGCTGCTGCCAACTTGTTGGAGAAGGAGTTTTATAATAAACATGAGTACTTGTAGAGAAATTAAGAAAACACTGATGTAAAGGATTTCAGCACAAAGATTACATCGTCTTTCTTGCCTCTTTGTTATGCAGTTATGTAAGGCTTTAGCAAATTAAGTATTTCACACAAAACTGCCTAGAAAAAGCAAAGCAAACGAGGATGGGGTGCATGCCTTCGCTTCCTCTTCTTCAATGCACACCTCTACTAGCATGGGGAAGGTAACCACAAAGCAAACCCATTCCATGGTGGCATCACGTCAGTCCAAATAAGAACAAGCACGTACACTTCTGGAATGGCTTTGTTATGGTTTGGTTTTGCTGTAAAAGTACTTGCTGTTTGCAAAGTATTTCTGGTAGACACAGCATTTAGAACTGGTTGTAAGTTTAGGTCAAAACACATGAAGGATATGAACTAGCTTTTCAAATCCTTAGCATGGTGCAAGTTGAGGAAACCAGGTACTAATGTGCTTCAGATTATTAAATCAGAATCTTCCAAGTTTATTGTAGTTGCTCTATTTCTATATAAATGCAAACTATTCTGACAGAAATTAATAATGAATTTCCATTTTTTAAACTCTATGTTGTATTTGTAGTTCTTGCATTGTGTTTTGACAAACGGCCAACAGGATGACTGGTGGGGAACGTTTACATAAAGCAGCAGCACTATGGTATCATCTATTTTTTGGGGTCATAACAAACAGCTTTTGCCTCCCTCTTGCTCTTGGGGAGAGGAAAGGATGCTGCCCAGAACATCAGCACCAAGAGGAGACAGGGAATTGCAGAGCAGGGACAGCACTGCTGTCTGCAAGAAGTCAGCATAGGGGCTTCTTGCATTGCACCTGTTAGACCAGGGGACCCACAAGTGCCTTCCAAGGCCAGGCTGGATGGGGCTTTGGGCAACCTGGTCTAGTGGAGGGGTTGGAACTAGATGGTCTTTAAGGCCCCTTCCAACCTAAACCATTCTGTGATTCCTCCCCTTGCCCACGTTGGGTCCAACATGAGACCAGGGCTGGGTCTGTCCCAGCTCTGCTTGCCAGCACACCTCGCTTGGCCTGCCCCCACGAGCTGCTGCTTGCAGCGCCTGCTTTACAGAACGAGGCTTGTCGAAATAGAAGAGGCTGGACCAGGAAGCCCAGTCCCCAACTCAACCCATTGTAACACTGTGCAAATGTAACCCTTCCTTTTGATCCCAAAAGCTCTTTGTTTCAGTCTTGTTTGACTTCCGTTACTTTAACAGCATAAATTCACGCACAGACCTCTTACACATACAACGTACTTTCCAGCCTGGATAACCTCCCCTAAAATTAGCTTCCTTACAGACATAATGAACAAGGCAACTTCCTTGCTCTGAATATGGCTTGATCTCACCCCAGATTAAAGTATACTAATTGTTGAACAAAACCACCTAGAAATTATATCCATATAATTAGCCTCCTAATATGTCTGCTCCTCACAGCACTAATGAGAAACTCCACTATATGACTTAATGTAGCTTTGCTCAGATACAATAGCATCCATCTTTCAACCACCACCAGGAAAGGCCAACTAGCTAGACACACTGAGGAGGGGAGCTATAAGCTAGAGGTAACTGTGTACAACTAGGGGCTGGCTCCCTGTTTTCTGGAACAGAGCTGGCAAGAAGGCAGACCTGAAAATCCTCTTAAAAAACCATGCCCATACATTAATTTGTCCCAGACCTGGCAAGGTAATCCCTCAGCCTTTCTGGCCTCCGCCTAGAACCATACAAACCCTACTGAACCCCAAGCTTGCTTTACAACAACAGTTTACTTTTGCTTTATACAGAACTGCCAAGAAACTTGTCAATTATAAAATAGCAGCCAATTCTGCTATTTAATAAAGTGTATCAGCCCACAGAAAGACCAGGACAGCTGTGGAAAACAAAACAGTGAGTAGGTCTATGCTTGGATGTTCAATTTATTGGTTCTATGTTTAACCTCCGTAAGGAAAAAAAACCACGAATGAAATAACTTGTATTTCATAGCACAAGCCTCTCATCTCTGCAACTCTCAAGTGAAAGACAGTTTTAGAAACTTCACTTCCTAAATGAAACAAGTTTACATATAAAACCACCAGGAAAGTGTCTCATATGGTGTCATCTCAGTGTTTTTAATTTGCTGCAATGTTTTGCAATTGATGCACATAAAAGCACTGTAAAATTTACAGGATGGAAGCTAGAAGCTTTCACCCACATGGATAGGGAATTTGTGGCAGCTCTGAGCCTACTGAAAAGCACAAGAAATGTTTACGATTGTGAAAAGAGGTTTATAGAAACATTTCTGCTAAAATTATCTACAACAGAGCACTAAGTACACTTAGCAGTTTAACCAAGTCATTAAAACCTGCTGAATAAAGACAGTTCCTGTCTTAGAAATATTGTTTCTAGCTCCCCACATATGACAAGAGATGACACCTTTTGAACCACAGACTTTTTTTTTCCTTCTACTATGCCATACCATATTAGCTGCCTTGCAGGATTTATATGACACTTTCATGTATATGACATCAGAAAATAGTTTTTACAGCCCTGAATTTAATCACACGCACACACTTTAGTACACAACAAAATCTTTCAGTGGCCCACCCTTTTAAAAGATGTATTTAAGTATAGGTCTCTCATTCTCCCTTAATTAAGATCTGATTTTGGTAAACCCACAAAAAATGATTTGTCATCAAGTACCACCGCATCTTCGTGTTCTCACTGCAGCAGCTTTCTTAGGTACTGTCATAATTAGGCACTGCATTCTTTCTTAACCACTGAATACCAAAATACCCAGACCTAGGAGTGCTCTTTTGGATTATGTTCCCAAATGGATTTTAAAACATGCCTTTAAACGCCACGTAGAACTTGCTTCTACTTCCAGAAACCAGGATAACCTCTCAGGGACACATGAAAAAATCCAGACCTTTAACTCCCTTCTTACAGCGATACTTCCAATTCTACACAAAAGCTTAATGAGTCACTCATGAACAACTGTCAACAGGGACAGATAAAAAAAAAATGTATGTAGCATGATTCCATTGGCAGTGCAGAAGTTAAAGATCTTTAAAGATATTGCAAGAAAAAGGAACAACACTGTGTTATGGATAAGAGATTATTGATTTATGATTAAATATATTTTGGAACGCAATAGCATTTATAGCAAACTTTTATTCAATAGTTTAAAAAGTGTATGGAAATTGTCATGAACAAAGAGTTACTCAATGGAAAATACCTTCTTTTTCCCCTTAAAAAGTTCTTCTGCAAGAACATCCACTGATGCATTTACCTACAGTAATCAGCTTTAAAATGCAAGGGTATTTTTTGATTTCTTGTATACATATACAGCATTTCCATAGTTAAGATGCTATTGTCCTGAGCAGTGTATGAAGAGAAATTATTTAAACTACCTAATTACAAGATATTTATATAATTGACAACAAGCACAGAACAATTTATAGACTTTAAACATTTAATGTGCCTTTTCATCAAGGAAGGCAAATGATAACTGTAGGACTGCTTAACACTGTGAGTGTCAATTTAGTATCATGTATTTAGATCTGCAGTATAAAGACACACACAAAACATTTGTGGAGTACATTTTGTTACAATAAACCAAGCTTGTATTCCATCATTATATGTGGTTCTCCCATAACCTCACTCTGTGAAGGATCTGGAAAAAAAAAAAGTGGACAGCATGAGGCTTTTACCAAGCTATAAAGACCAGTAACTATGAGCACAACTGTATTCCTTTTTCTTTTTTTTATTCTGATGCTTAGTGCAACAGTTACTTTATTGATTCTTAAACAGTGTTGCACAATGCAGGTCTGTAACTGCTAAGTCTCTATCCAAAGCAATGATCAGATAACAAATACATTGATAGTGGCACAGTGTTTCGTAAGGACACACACACTTCAAGTACAACCAACCAGTTCTACATAAGCAGTCTCCTATAGCCCTAATCTCAAGGCTGATGGAGTTTTTACTTAAGAAAATTCAAGTCTGGCTGAAGTTTTCCCCCACAGGTGCCCCACACCTCTTTCCGATACAACTCGTCTGCACAACAGGAGCTCACACTTCAGCCCTTTTGTTAGTTAGGACATATTCTTGGTTTCTCCACCTAACAACCTAGTTTCACAGAAATTTTATGCCTTTAAATATCTCTGATATTTCCTCCATTCTGTAAAGTATGGTTGACATTAGCCACTGTACTCAAAGGTTATCAAGGAACGTGTAGACACAAGAGCTACCAATACCCACAGTATGATCTTCATTTCCATACAAAAAAAGAAAAATTAAAAAAAATCAAGGCCAAAAAAAAATATGTGGTGACTGCACTTTGGAAAAAATACATCTTTCTTCATGGGTGTATCAGAGAGTTTTCCTTCCATACATAGGGCATATTAATGCCCTTGATTTCTTCAGACACCAAAATTATCAGCCTCAACTGATAAGTAGAGCCTTACCAAAACCACTTCTAACTCACTCCTTAGCACTCTATAAACATGTAACAGCTTGTTGTGAGCAATGGTAAATAACCAAATTCCTATAAATTATGTTTGACATTGCTCTACCCCTTGAAACACAATAACCTATGATTCCTTTCCTTTCTCCCTGTAAATCCATCCCATAAAATAATCCCAGATTTACCTCATGCCTCTAGATTCCCACTTACCCGTCCATTATTTCCAGTTTCATCTCCCTGGCTCTTACTATTCTCCAATCCTACCTCAAAATACCTTCTGCCCCCTTCCATGTCCCTAACTACTAGCTAGAAATAAATATTTTAAACTATTTTTCCAGGTTTATTCTATTCCACACATACAGCCCACCACACAACTGCAAACTGCTGAATTAATATGAGGGATCCTTCCCCTTGCCACATCTCTGGTTCATTAGTTTGGTATGTCTCCTCTAGCCTTTCCTTCTTTTTAACTATAGAATTTACTAGAAACTTCGTATCTTTGTAACCTCCACCTGTCAAAATCTGCACAAGTAGTTCAAAAGTTTCTGGGGAAACAGGCATACAGTGTGAGTGCATAATCTTCGACTCCTTTAGAAACCCAGCTTACAAGCAAATACTGGCTTACTCAATATTTTAGAGTAATTTCCACACAACTAGCAGCTGAACCACATTTATTTCTCCTCCTCCCAGTGCTTCTTTGCCTTTAGGAATTCAATTTTTTCTTTGTATTCTTTGCATTTAATTCTCTTATTCTGTAGAGACAAAAAACTTCACAGTTCCCCAATTTTACCTTTATATGTTTCCATAACATTCAAAACAGAATGTATTTACCATTAAGGATATCCTCAAAACCGATGCATTCATCATTTCCCCTCAGAGTATCCAGCGCCATGTTTGAGCTGTGAAGAAATGGGAGACGCTGGACCTGTAAAAATACAACAAGAGTTCAAGTTGCTGCAAGTCTGAAATTGAGGGGGTTTGTATTTGGATTTCTCAGTCTGAAATGACTGAGAAAAGCAACAGGCAAAGTCAATTCTTCCTTCAAAAAAAAAAAAAAAGAAACAAGAGAACTACTGGCACACATAGATAGCAAAAACCTAACACCACCATCTTCTACTGCTTATCTCTGTTTTGAAAAGAACAGCCTTTCACTAGATTTGTAGCTTTTGCTGCAGTGTAGCTACTACAGCAAAGAGCATAGTTTTTAAAAAAGATAGGTTTTTTCCCTCTTCTGTTATCACATAAAGCTGGGGAGGCTCATTGCAAACACACACTTGTACAGCCCTAGGTCAATATTGGGTGACTGACATTACTGCAGTGTCTGGAAATGACATTCTAAGTTTCCTACATCTCCAACACAAGTCAGGAATGTAAGTGAAAGAGCTATATTGATTTTCACATCTAAACATAATCCTCCTTGCAATTAATCTAAATTCATATTTATTTCTCTGATCCCCACCAATTTTTAAGTTTCAAGTCCACTCCCAATTACTTTCAACACTCTCTTCTGTGCCCTTCACCCACAATATTACAAAAAAGTTTTGAGTGGTACACACAGCATTCAGAGCCTAAATATTCTGAGAATGGTATAGCTGTACTTACAATTGCATTCACCACTAGTAGTGATACTTCAGTTACACGATGAACACATTTTACAACCATAAAAATTATCACATAGCTATCTCCTTACACACAGATTATGTCAAAGATTTCCATAATCACTACTGGTACAATTGTCAGAAGTTCAAATACACTATTCCAGTAAGTATTTTAGAAAAATGAAATTAAACCACAAGAGAGTTTGTGTATCTAACATGAAGCTGGGAGTGAAAAACCTCCTAATCACCATATTTCCCCTACCCATCCCTCAAGAATACTGGTGAAGACACACTAGCAGAATATCCTCACCTGCATCATTTTCTGCCGTGTGCTAACATAAGTTTGGAAAAAGATTTTTTCCTTACAAGACAGCACAGCTGAGATCAAGGGATGTTTTCATACATCCTGTCTGACTTTCACATCTTCAAGACCAGTAATTTCTGCCAAATTTAATGCAGCTCACTGTGGTTCAGTAGCACCTGATCCATTGGAAGAGAGTATAAAATCGTTCTAACCCACTTGGAAAAAACAACTCTTAATAGCTTGACAACCTTCAACAAGTCAAAAAAATTTACTAGGACCAATGAGCTTTCTATGTTTCCTAAGGGACAAAGTCAAAGTCACCATCCATTTACCATCCTAGGAGATAACAAGAAAAAGGAGACAGACTCAGCTTCCCAATTAAGAGTTAAAACCTTTGAACTTCACTCCCTGTAGACCTCCCCAATCTTACAGGAAAGGCTGTGGAACAGTAATAAGCTCATAGCAAATTCTCTGCTTTAGTTTTCATGTTACCTCTATACCTACTCCCAAATCACTACCTGCTTCAGACCTCCAAGTCTACAGGTGCAGAGATTCCTTCCAATGAAGATCACCCCTTCCACAGAAGAAAGTAGTAATTTTAGGAATTAATACTCAATTCCTCCTGCTTTTCTCTGAAGGCTTACAGGAAGCTAGTTCACAGAAAAGCTAAAGCACTTACCACTTCACCACATACCCAATAAAAGAACAACAGCTGAAAAGGCTTTAGCATAGTGACTGTTCTGAAAACTATTAAATGCAATGTTTGTTTTATTTTAATAAAAGCAGTCCAGTGAAAGAATTTCTTTTGGAAACACAAGGTATTTCAATGCAGACAGATGTGTCTCTGAAAGCATGTCCTGAGATAAAAAAGCAGTTCCAGTTACACCAGTTGGATAAAAATGCCTACCTGTTTCACTGCTCTGAATTCCATCTGCAGCTTTAAAGGCGCATGGAGTCCTTGAATATTTCTCAGCGTGGCAAAGTTTGTTTTATCTTGATTTAACTGGAACTATCACAAACAACATTGATTTCAGAAAAAGTTACTTTCAAGTACAGCCATAGAAGACATTTGTGACATCCTATTTAAATGAACATGCTTATTAAATTTATATGTAAAAATTCACCATCATATGTGTCTCAAATGTACAGGAAATATAGTGATGCAGTAATATTTGTTTTATGAAACTGAAATTGCTTTTTGCTGGATTTTATTACAAATCAATAGTAGCAATTTTATTTTGTTATTTTTGACAATCAGGACATGTAACACCACCAAGTGGTGTAGTTTTGCACTACTTTACATTACTACAATATTGTCAGCATGAACTGGAAGCAAACTCTGGTTTAAAGTAAGAACACAAAAGCCACAATTGATGTTATTGTTAGCCATCAAAGACTCTACTTGAAAACACTTGAAATACTTTTCTGATCAAGGAGGCAGATAGAGCACCACTTATACTCCATATGACTCCAAAAAGCAAAAGAAAACTTGTAATTTTATTAAGTGCTCTAAAACTGATCAGTAGGACCAAGAAAATCTATTTAGTAGAGGGTTCTTTTAATTAAAAAGTGCTGGCTCACAAATACTGAATTACACAAAAAGTATCTTACACTTAATGTAAACTTAAGCTTGAGTAATCCAGACTCAAATTTGGCTTTCATAGTTGTGACTACATGCATGTAATGTTGACACAGTAAAGTAAAACAAAAACTACAAATCTCTTGTTTTAAAACCCGTACTCAATCACCCTGACAAAAGCCTACTAGTACAAGAATATCATCCCATTTTATGTGGAGAGATCCCAATAAACAACAGGAAGATACAAGTCAAAGGCGTAACATGCATTTTCTTCTCAACTACCCGTGTTGAATGCTCTTCAAAAGTGTCCTGGTTTCACAAACCAGAAAAAACTGTTTTCACCCAAACTGACCAAAGGGATATTCCATACTATATGACAACATGCTCAGTTTATAAGGAGCTTGGGGGAAGAAGGAAGCGAGGGGACACGCTCACAGTGACGGTGTTTGTCTTCCCAAATAACCATTACACAAGATGGAGCCCCGCTTTCCTGGAGATGATTGAACACCTGCCTGCCAATGGGAAGTGGTGAATGAATTCCTGGTTTTGCTTTGCCTGCATGCGCGGCTTTTGCTTTACCTATTAAACTGTTTTTATCTCAGCCCACGAGTTTTCTCACTTTAACTTTTCTAATTCTCTTCCCCATCCCGATGGGGGGGGAGGGGGGAGTAAACGAGCAGCTGTGTGGTGCTCAGCTGCCGGCTGGGGTAAAACCACGACAAAAAGTTAGCAGAAAACACTATTTATATGCCTCATCCCAAGCTTCTAATTCTGGTCACATTATTTTTCCATTTCTTTTCTTTTATAAAGGTAATAGTCCTTATCTGGGTAGCAGATTTGGTTTCTACTAGTGCTACCTGAATAACCTATCCTTTACAGCAGTAAAAACAACCATAACTCTCTCAGGCTAACATAAGTACATGTACATTCAAATGTACATGAAAATAATTCTTAGATAAATCAGCCATAAACTTACAGAAAAACTAACCAAAGAATATGTGGAAAAAAGACAACTTAAAAGTTTCACATACTTCTTAGGGGATCACATTGCCCATTTTAATTATTTCTGTGCATTCTTCCTCTCTAGCATGTAATCTTTCAATTATGCAGATATTATACAGCAAGAACAGTTAAAAACTAACTTATGGCAGTCAGTTGCAAAAAAAAAATCAATTGACAAATAGCTCTGAAACATTTATAACATTTGTAAATAAGCTCATGAAGTTGTTGTCACATTAGCATCGTCCCTTTAACCAAAGACAACACTAGCTCTGGTTAGAATTAGAATACATGAGACATTAGACTCAGACCTCATCATGCCGATTATCTTAGCAATTTGGAACATTACATCCAAGTACTGCCTTTGCTTCATGATATTTTATTACATTAAATCTTCTGTGACCAAACAGGCACCAGAGATGAGATTCAGTTCAATCAGCTATTTAGCCAAGGCTCAGTCTAGTCTCCCTTTACGTTCAACCTATGGTCCACAGACCATGAGTAACGACTAAGCAGGAAAAGACTGCACACATGACAAACTGTATGTGTAAAATTTCTAGACAGGATCAAATAATTTAAATAAGGATTTATGGGCTCACAGACTGAAAGTCTAAAAGTGAAGATATGTGGTAAACTTACAGACAAAATGGGAGGATCAGCCTTCCAGACGTGACAGGTGTGCCCCCCACCTAACTACAGAAGCTTCATACACTACTAACTTAGTAAGGTTTAGTCATCTAAAAGTTATTAAGCAAATCCCTACTGGGAAACCTGCTTACATACTTGAAGTGGAGAGAGTCACATGTGGGAGGTTAACATTAAACAAATTTGCCAATGATGATATTTGTATAAATAAAGTGTTACTGTTGTTGAACATCTTTGTTCTGTTAAAGGCAAGACCGTGCTCATTACTTGTTACTGCACAAAGCAGTCCTGGTAACCACATTGTTAATTTAAATTTCATAATTAGTTAGGAGTGAAGATGGCTACATTTGATGTTATACTTACATTTTTTTCTGACAGCTCCAGTGGGTGGCTGGGCAACAATTCATTTTTCACACTTGTAAAGCTAGAAATTGAAGTAAAAAAAACCCCCTGAACTTCAAAAAAATTAATCGGGCTACTGCTTTTTTAGTTGCATTCCAAAACTAATCTCAGATACAAACCTAGAGACACACACAATTAACGTACTTCCAACTATCAAAAAAAAAAAAGCTTAACAGTGAAGCAATAAATAAGACCTCTAACTACAGCACTACCAAAAGAAAAAAAAAATAATTTCAGGCATCCTTTTTTCTTTATGTTTGACAAAACAGAGTGATAGCTTTTCTTCCTTGACTCCTTTCAGAAATAGAGAAAAATATTAATAAATGAAAACATTACAGGTTTAATTACATCCAAGCTACATAGATCGTTCATGTTAGAACAATCCAAGCTTTTGGAACTGAATATTGTACATACAACTATGGCGGGGGATGTAGGTATTACCCACATTTTAAACTCCATGCACTTATTTTAGTTTCATTATCCAAGCCATGTACATAGTTTTGCACTCATGTCTACATGTATTTTACAACTAGCATATCTTTCATAATTATTAATACCTTGCCATCACTTTTCTAAAAAGATGTATCAAACAGGTAAAAGTAGAATAATATTACCTACTTCTTGAACTGAAGAGTTTCACAGAAAATTCAAGCTTGAAAGACAATCTGACTAAACGTGCACTTTAAGCTACAGCTTTTGAGATGTATCTGCCAATAACCTTTTTTAAAAAGTCAACATCCAATACATGCTTTCTAAAAAAAAATCAGCTATGGCACAATTCAATAAGAAAAAGTAAAGCATACCCTCTACGCAGAAGATCTTGACCTTCAAATGGTCCTGAAGCTGAAAATTCAGTAATCGGAATACTATCCTTCAACAGAGAAGCAGCGCCTCTGGAATTCTGAAACAAAAAAGTAGGATTGCTTTAACAGAACCAGACCACTTTCATATGGGCCATCGGGCCAGGCAAATGAAACAAAGTGCTCAAAGACTCCTTAAACTACTCATATACAAGCCCTAGACTTTAAAGAGTCTCAAAAAAAACCAACCAACCCAAAACACACCACCAAAACACAAACAAGTCTGATGACAGTTAAAGGTACTGATAACGCATTTTTTGGATCTGGCTGAAACAGTTAAACTTAGAATCACCCCTTGTTCATTCCCACCCTGGGCTGCAGGGATGAAAAAGAAGGTTGCAGGTCATGATTAGCCAACAGGACAGAAAAGCACATGTCTGAACATTCCTTCATTTACTTCAATACAGACACAATCAAGTAAGATCAAATTATTTTGTCCATGTTTTAAGGCCGCCAAAAGAGGATAAGGTGTATTCAAGTGGTCTTGTACGCCAGTTAACTGAAAGAACAAAGGAAAAACAATAACTTGTGGCAGAAGACCAGAAAAACACACCTCCACAGACTTACTAAGTAAAGCCATCTTAACCCAGACCACTAATTTCATGCTAACCTGCCCGATTTTATTGAAGTGATTTTAGGATTGCTCATGCAAATTGCTCTACCAACAGGCCAACGTATAATAAATTCTGGAAAGTGACAGCAATAATCTGTGGAAGGTGACAGGGATGAGCTGTTCAGTGCAGCAATTTCCTCCAATAGGATCCAATAGAAGATCCATGCTTAGAGCTAAGGCCTTTTGTACTAACATGTTAATTGTCAATAACCTAACAGCTATTAGAAAACCCTAAAATATCTGCTATTACATGCATATAAAGCATTTACCAACTAACACACTCAACACTGACCAGACCTTTCTGAGATTGCTGTAAATTAAAACATTACAGAGACACGTTACCTGGAAGATGGGACAAGAGGGAAGATCAAAGTTAAAGTAAGGAGAAAACCATGAAATACACCCAAAAAGTAACGCTCTCAAGTGACACCAGTGCCCAGTCCGTCTTAGGTGGTGACACCAGCGCTACCCACCGAAGGCTAGAGGCACGGCCCTCCGCCGCGGGAGCCCCCGGCTCGGGGATCACCGGGGCTCCGGGAGGCTGGGGA